TCAGATCCAAATCAGTCATTTTACATACCATATCACCCTAAATATTCCCTCTCAGAACTTCAACCATCCAGAGCCCCTTGCCTCGGTCTTTTTTCACATTCTCTTCTTGTGTTACTCTTCCATCCTTGTAGTTATTTTCCAGAAAATATCTTCCTTGCGATTCCAGCTTTGAGCATTAAAGCAAGGGTATGCTTCTTAATTAATCCCCAGCTATAAATTGCTAAAGTTCACATTTCACTGCCATGCAAAGTTCAATGCAAATAGCTTTTCAGTTTGAAAAACATTGATCACCATCAAATTATACATCAGTATATGTATATCAAAAGAAATATGTTTTATATGGTATGGACTCTAGTTTTATATTAAACAGTTGTTTGATATAACAATTTAAAATTAATAGTCTACTTAATTCAATAGACAAAAATATTTAAATTAATAAATAATAATAATAATAATAATCAACAATTAAATTAGACAAAATCACTAATTATTACTTTCAAACCACTATACCAAATAGCTTTTTCAGTCTATGTTATATGTTATATTATGAAGCAGTTACACAATTATCGATCCTTATATTTCATATTATTTTTTTGATATTCACAATTAGGATGTTTTTGTGTCAACTTTTGCATACCATAAGATTAATTTTTTTGAACAGTTTTAAATGTGCACCCTATCACACGTTAACATGATATATTTAAATAAATTAATTTATTTAGATATTGATCTCAATATTTGAACTCCAAATCTAATTTACAAGATAACAATGCTTACCATTGGATGCAACCTTAGGTTATTATTGATAACTTTATAATAAAATAATTGTGCACCTTTCTTATTGTCTTTGCACATTCATTCACTGGCATTTGCCAAGCATCTTCTAGGAAATTTCCAGCTAAAATTTGCACAAGTTCTCTTCTTTTCTCCTTAGTCGGCTCACTCTGTATCATCTCACAGAATTAGCACTGCGATTGAGCTGATTTGCTGCTACTTCTAATTTTCTTGGCTTAGCTAATTAATTTGGTTATAAGTCAAGGTTTGTGTCTTCTACAATTCCTTCGGTGAAATTTGCAGGTATACCATCTAGATCTTCAATCATGACTCAGTTATGTTCTCTTTGAGATATAAAGTGTCTCCAAGTGATCTTTCCAAATCATGTTTGTCTTCCAGGAAATATCCATTGCATCCCCCTGGTTACAGATAATAGGCATGAAATATTTAAGCTAAGCGGTTGCTACTTTTAATTTGGTTATGGACATCCATTTCTTCAATTCCGTCCACTAAACTTGCAGGTACACTATTTATCTTTGTCTTTAATCTTGATTATCTTATATTCTTATTGATGTATTAAGGGAGAGTGCCCAAATTCACCTCTTGGTTGACAAATCCAGTAACCTTCAACACAAAATGGAGACAAATCACCCCCCTAAGTAATTGAATGGGACAAATAGCTAAAAGTGTAATATGTAACATTACACCTTGTTATGACTCCGTTAAAGTCTTACTATAAATATATGTTGTTAAAATATTTTGAGGCCAATCTCCCAAACGAAAGTATCACCTTAAACAAACAATTTTAAATCAATGTCCTCCATTGTTGCAAAGCTTTTATTAGGTCGGTGAAGGAATCCCTAGGTCATCCAAAGTTCAACTAAATTATCTTTTTTAGATTCAAAATTCTTTAGAAATAAGGAATATTGAGAAAAACTTTCCTCAAAAGAGAAGGCAAATAATTGAAACTTATTTTTAGAATAGATAAAAGGCAAAAAAGAAAATGATTTTAAGAGAATAATTTCCTTTGGCATCAAGATATTAATTTCAAATTTAATTTATAAGACAACATTATTTGTTGTTAGATTTAACTCTTGAAATTATGGTTGATTACTTTATAATAAAGTAACTTTGCAACTTTCTCATTTTCTTTGTAGATTCATTCACTGGTATTTGTCAAGCATCTTCCAGGAAATTTCCAACTATAATTTCTACAAGTTCTCTCTCCTCTTCTCCTTAGCTGACTCACTTTTTATCATCTCACAGAATTAGCCTTCCAATTGAACTGAGTCGCTAGCTGCTATTTCTAATTTTCTTGGCTTGCCTGATTTGGCTATCAGTCAGAGTCCATTTTTTGCAATTTTTTCAGTGAAACCTGGAGGTATATCATTTAAATCTTTGATCTCAGTTCAGTTATACTCTCTTTGAGATATCAAATGAAAAATATCTGAATTTTCTTATAGATGCATGTCTTTATTGACAGAGAAACTTCATTCTAGTCAGAATGCTTGTCAATTTTAAACTGTTTAGCACAAATTGTTAGATTCTTTCGAATGGATTTATCTAATTTATGTTTTTAAGGTATATGTTAAAATATATTAAATGTATTATTTTATAATAAATTTTTATAAAAAAATAAAAGTAAGATATTATTTTTAACATTAATATCACTTGGATGATTTTAATTAAATAGTTAATAAATTTAAAATCAATTTTTATTTTTTATATAAATTAATTAAAAAATATAATTAATACTTTTTTAATCTATATTTTAAAGATATAAATTAAACAAATCCTTTTTAAATTGTCTTTCCTATTGAATTTTTCTTTTTCAAATTGTCTGCTTCTACCAAATTAATTAGTAGCTACTTAATTAATAATGTGAGTTCTCTTTTTTGAGTACTTCTAGTAAATATACAAGTATCTCCTCGTGATCTTTCTAACTCATGATTGTCTTCCAGGAAATATACATCGCATCTCTCTAGTTATAAATAACTAAGCTTGTGATTGGCTGATACTTTTAATTTGGTTATGGACATCCGTTTCTTCAATTCCATCTGCTAAACTTGTAGGTACGTTATCTATTTTTATTTTCAATCTTGATTATCTTATGTTCTAGTTGATGTATAAAGTTAGAATGTTTAAATTCACCCTTTAATTATAGTTGACAGATTCAACCTTCTATTCTACACAAAACATGGGTAAATTGCCCCGCTAAGTAATTGGATGGGACAATTAACTAAAAATTTTTTTGGTGCAAGATGACTAACTAAAAATTTAACATATAATAACATCATGCCACATCATTGCTTTGTTAGAGACTTATTAAATATGTTGTTAAAGTATATTTTGCAACCAGTTTCCCAAACAAAGTTATCACCTAATTAAACAATGTTAAATCATGCACTGCATCTAACGTTTTGCAAGACTAATTACCAATGTCCTTAATTTTTACAAAGCTTTTATTAGAGAGGTGAAGGAATCCTTGACAACTAAATCATCTGTTTTGAAGATAAAATATTTTGGAAAAATTGAACAGTGAGGAAAATATTTATTTAAAGGAGAAGACAAATAATTGAAACTTATTTTAGAATAGATAAAAGACGAAAATAGTATATTTACCCATTTACTTTTAGGATTACCAAAATATACTTTTATATATTTTAAAATAAATCTCCTTTTATTCTTTTAAATTGAATGAAATTACCTTCTTTACATTTTAATCGAAATAAATTAATCAAAATTTAACACGTAATTATATGTTATCATTTTGTCTTTCCCCTTCCATACCTAGCTGGTCTTTCTTTTTTATGTTATAATAATAGGAAGCAGCACAGTTATTGATCACTTTATAATAATAAACTAATTTTGCACCTTTCTTACTATAACCTCATTGGATATCTTTTTGCAGATTTATTTCATTGGCATTTTCCAGGCATCTTCTGGGAAATTTCTAGCTATAATTTGGACAAGTTCTCTCCTCTTCTGCTTAGCCAGCTACAATTTTTATCATCTAACAGAATTAGCCTTGCAATTGAATTGATTTGCTGCTACGTCTAATTCTCTTGGCCTAGCTGATTTGGTTATCATTATCCATTTTCTGTAATTTCTTTGGTGAAGCATACAGGTATACCATTTAAATTTTCAATCTTAATTAAGTTATGTTCTCTTTGAGATATAAAATGAAAATATTTAAATTTTCTAACAAATACATATAACCTTATTAGCAAAAACTCTTCACGCTAGTTAGGATATTCCTCATTTTTAGATTGTTTTTAAATTGACTTTATAAGCTGATGGGCCGCCAATTGTAATTTGGTTGGCTTAATATGGTTATCCTCATCCATTTTTTCAATTTTTCATGCTAAACTCACAAGTAACACTAATTATCTCGATCTTCAATCTTGACTTTATTATGTTCTCATTGATGTATAAAGGTGAATGGCCTAAATCCATCCTTCAAGTGGCTCTGTTTTCTAATGAAAGATTGAATTAATTACACTATTAGAAAAATTGATTATATACAGTGTCAAATAGTTAACATAGGATATCAAAAAAATTAATCAACGCAGAATTAATAAATTTATTTTTATTATCCTTAAAACTCAATTTTTAGTTTAAAATAGTTAACATAGGATATCAAAAAAATTAATCAACGCAGAATTAATAAATTTATCTTTATTATCCTTAAAACTCAATTTTGGTTTAAAAATAA